TTTTTAACTGTTATAACCTTCTGTGTATCACAGTAATGGAGATGCCTCCTGTCTTTTTCTTCTGATCTGTCTTCTTCTGAAAATAGATTGCTCAATAATATCATGGGCCTGCATGTTAAGGATATAGAAACACTAACCATATCTAGGTCTTCACTTAATTTTAAATGCACTTTAGAGCAAACATAACATTAGTACCTAAAATTTTTTTTATGTGACCAGGCTTAAAAAGCCTTAAATTTTTAAGTGACATAAAACAGGTTTTGTTCAAAAGCATCTACTCTGGGGACTCTTCCTGTTTTTATTTCCACCCTCATCAGTCTATATACTCAATCTTTTATAAAATTACTGTTTGCATTTTTAATCATTTTAAGAATTTCATGTAAAATGCATTTTTAAGTACAATAAAAATTTAAATCATTACCATTAGTTTTGAAGTGGATGGGTAGAAATTTTTATATTTTCTCCTTAAATAAATTGCTCCAGAACTCAGCTTGCTTCTTGCTTTAGGGTACCTAAAACAAGCCCAAACCCACTGGCATCAAGTCAGTTCTGACTCCGACAAACCCTACATGGGGTTTCCAGGGCTGTGACTCTTTACAGGCACAGACAGACCCATCTTTCTTCCAGAGCCATTTTGATGGCCAGCCCAGAGCACCACCAGGGTGCCTTGTCACTCCACTTATAATAATCATTATTGTCGCATTCTCTTACACTGTAGACTGTTTAGAGCAGCAGTTCTCAACCCTTTGGGGGTCGAATGATCCTTTCACAGGACTCACCCAATTCATTACAGTAGCAAAATTACAGTTATGATGTAGCAATGAAAATAATTTTATCGTTGGGGTCACCACAACATGAGCAACTGTATTATTAAAGGGTCACACCATTAGGAAGATTGAGAGCCACTGGTTTAGAGAATACAAAGTACACCAGCAGGGCTGCTTTTAAGCCTTTTTCCATGCAGTTTATTGGACCTAATTAAATAATGTTTCCTATTAAGGAACAAAAGCAGAATAAAAGAATACAGAGGATCACAGGAAGAGTTAGAGCAATTTCAACAGTTTCATTTACTAATTAAATTTGAAAGTATATTTTGCTCCTTAAGTGTCCCTTAGGCTAGTAAAATGTTAGTATACTTTGCTTTACATAGTCAAAATCACCTTTCTTTGGAATACCTTAAAAAGAGTATACAGTCATAATGTGGATAGAGTTCCTGCATGGGACAGTTAACAAACTTGACTGTTAACCTAAAAGCTGGAAGTTCATGGTCATTCTGAGGCACCTCAGAAGAGAGGTCCAGTGATGTAACCCACTGCCACAGAGTGGACCCTACAGGAGAGCAGATGCTCTTGGGTTTTCGAGAGCCTAGGCCTTTATGAAAGCATGTATCCTCATCTTTCTCCAGCAGAGCGGTTGGTGGGTTCGAACTGCTGACCTCAAGGTTAGCAGCCTAACCAGCTTTGCCACCAAGTTTCTCTCCAGTGATCCACTTCAGCCCAGCTCTACTTTGACAGCAACATACTAAACTACCTCCTTAATCTGATGAAATCTATAAATGATTTACTCAAAATTAGATTCCATAAGAGGAACTTATATTGCACTTTTCAGAGCCCAGAGAGGGGGCAAAATATTAATATAAAGTTTAAATTTTAAGCCACCAAATCAATTATGAAACTTCTGTAACAGAAAAATCTTTCAAAAGAAACATATTTGACTTAGTCAATATTAGGCTATCAATTCAAATTTCATTTTCAGAAGAAAAAAAGATGCATATGTTTAAATGCAGCACAATTTTATTTTAAATTTTTCAATCATTAAAAGTATAATTAAATAAAAAATAAAACTTAAATTTTATAAATATAAAAATGATAAACAAATATAAGTAACAGAATTTTTTTTCTGAAAAGGTATATAACAGTGAAGTACAGGAATGTTAATATGGGACTGGGTTTTAAATATTTGCCATTAAATATTTATTACTATTATTATTAATAAGCTATACAAACTGACATTTCAAGTTGGTAGTCTCTTCTCAGCACACTGACTTAAAGAAAACTAATCCTTGACATATTAAAACCCTTAGACCTTTTCTATAAACCCTTCCCCAAATTTGGTTCTCTGTGACCCACCCTCTTCTCTTATCTCAATCTCCCATCTTGCGCAGTATTCCATCCCAAGACCTTTTGCAAAGAATAGGCCCCTGGTTCCCTCATTTTGGACAAAGACTAAGATCATGTAAATACATCAGGATCCTTCAATTGACTCAGACCCAGGAGTCACTGGACGGAACCTTATTACCTGACCCAATGCCCTACTTGAGCCTACTTCTCATACTCAGGGGTCTGTAAACATCAGGAAAAATACGACAAACCCACCAGACCTCCATTTATAGGCTGAGGTGGGGTAGAGGGCAAGGAGGAATCAGAACCCCAGAAGTACATGGCAATGAAGAGACCCAGGTGCCCCAATTCAAAGAGCATGTGGTATTTTGGTCTTGAGACCCCAAACTGGTCCCTGCCTGTGGTAGTTACCTAATCTGTTGTCAATTTGAGACTGAAGTGTAAAGGGGTGAAGTTTAGCCTGGTTGCAGCTTGATGACCTCATTTGGAGGCGCTAAGGAGATAAATAGCTGGCTGGAGGCAGGGTACATGCTCACTCCTCCCTTGCCTGATGGAGCTATGCTAATACAGCCAGCCAGAGCCAGAGCTGATACAACCACATGGACCCCTGACAGTTCTGAGAAGCTTCTACCACCATGGATCCACAAAGCTTTCCAACCACTGATATTCCTGCATTCGGCATTATTGCATGGCTGCGTGAGTCTAAAGAGGAATTTATGGACTAGTATTGGACATATGGGCTAATATCGGATTTATGGACTTGATCTAGACTGGGCTAGGATGTTTTCTCAATATTCAATTGCTCTTGTATATAAAGCTCTTTCATCTACACATGAGTGCCTAAGAATTTGTTTCTCTAATCTACCCAGATTAACACACTGCCTGGACAGACCATAAGAGCCCTATCTGTTTACTGTGCATGCAGTCTCCACTGCATTTCAACTGGCTTCTGAAACAGGACAAGGACTAACAGGTTTGGGCAATGGCATGGGATTGGATAAGCAGTTATATAAAACCATTTCATTGTACCTACGACAATGTAAATTGGATAAAATTTGGGGGTGTCCTCCTGGTTGATTTCCCTAGGAGAAAAACCAACAAAATTACCATTTTGAAACTGTGAAAAGTGAAGAATCTAGTTTTGGTATTTGTTCTGTAATTGTGTGATCTTGATGCAGTTGTTCCATCTGGACTTGTCTCAAAATCAGTAGCTTAAACTAGATAATATGCACAAGTGTACATATTTATAAAATCTTTAAAATTCTATTTTTAAAAATTTAAATCTCACCTCATCTGAAGAATCTATTTGTTCCAAAGTTCCTGTTGCACCCACAAAACCTTGTGGAGGGGGGAAAAAAAAGTTGCTCTTCAGAGTGTCTATATCTGTTTTACTTTAAAATTATTTTGAAACAAAATTAAAATACAAATATAAAAAGCCAGGTTCCACTTTATTCAGTCACCTCATCTAAAAGCTATCTTGGCAGAGTTCACATCTTCAACAAATTTGGATTGAATAGATCTATACTTCAATAGACTATGTATAGTGGAAATACACATTTTAAACGTTGCAAATGATAAGAGGGCTTCAAAAAGTCTGTAGAAAACAGAATTAAAAGATGATGAAGGGGAGCTGATATCAAAGAGCTCAAGAAGAGAGAAAACGTTTGGAAACCGTGGTAGCAATTGTACAATCCTTCTTGAGGTGACTGAACTAAGGAATGCTATGATATCTGTCAGAGCTCCCAATCAAATGATTTTTAATAAATAAAATAAAATGAAATAAAAGACAATGGAATTTTTCCAGAAACATTTTGAAGCCCCCTCATATTTCAGAAGGATCTTTCTTTTTAGTTTTAAACCACTGTTACTAAAATAGTAAATAAGCAAAATTTTAAGCTACTACTACATAGTAATTGATATATTTTGCATACATAAGAAATGAATCATAATAAAGTTAACCAAAGTTAAATTCAGAAAATGCACTTTCTTCTTTGGCTGATTTATTTTTTCTTGCCTTTAAGCTATCACTTTATTATTCTCCTTAAAGAATGACACTTGGTTCAAAAGAAATTATACTTCAATAAATAACAAACTACAGGCTTTTGTTTC